GCAGTCAGTCGTAACGGAGATAAAAACATAATCGTAGTTTCATTTAAAGGTAATTTACCTTAACCAAAATAAATAAATAAATTTTTTCAATGTATTTGAAAATTTTAGTTTTCGAAAAATACGACGTTTCTTTTGCGGTTCAGTATATATATATAACATGCACAATTCTTTTATTGTTTATTGTACAGCTGCATTAAGATTCTAATGAGTATGAACAAATAAATATAGATTCTTACATTGGTACCAGTGGATTATCGGATTTATCCGATTGAGATTTAAAAACCATCGAATTTATCGGATTTATCTAATCAAGATAGTTAGTATTTCGATAATTTAACTATCGAGATAAATCCGATAATCCACGAGTAACTATGTAAGAATCTTTTTCTCTAATTACCAAATAACTTTTCATTTTTAATAAACGGAAAACAATTTCTCTAATTTAGCACATTTCGATTCATCAAGAGAGCTGATAAAGGTTTATCATTAAAATATTCACTGTCAATAGACCATGACTGAGGGGACACGGCCAAATAATCTAAACGGAAAAGATATGTGCCAATGTAACAAATAGATTTAACCTGTCACTAGTGGTTGCCCATTGACTGACCTATCACAAACTAATACATGTAAACTTAGCAAAAGTTTCAAAATCAATAGACCATGCATGACTGAGGGGCTGGTCAAAATAATCTCCATGGCAATGAGATTTGCGGATGGTAATACACCTGAATACCAAACATCATTGATCTATCGTTAGTAGTTCCTCTAATAAACTGTCCTAATCACAAACTAATGCATGTAAACTAAGTAAAAGTTTCAGTCGATGGACCATGAATGAGTGTGCGGAGCCAAATAATCGCTATGGAAATGAAAAGTGACTGTATTCAAAATATCATTGACCTACCACTACTGATTCCCTATTAAATGACCAGAATTGCAAACTAATACATTGTTGACGCCGCCGACCGCCGCCGGAAATAGCACACCTTAGACTTGCTTTATCGACTTCGTCGAGGCGAGACAAAAATAACCATTAACTAGGTTATTGGCATCATTCTATGCATGTGATCATGCATTGGGTTAAACTACATGCTGATTTTTTCGATTTCAACCATCCCATTTAAAACTGATGAGTGTGGTAACAAAGTGTTGGTTCTCGGACGGGAAACGATTTTAAACTAGCCGATTGCTTTGATACACAAGCAGAAACAACAGGAGAAATCAGAAAAAATAATCATTAAGTAATGCGACGTGTCCTGACAGTTGAGAAAAATATCTGCTTTCTTCAATTAGGGGATAAAAAGACGTCATACAAGATATAAATGAAAGAGAAGTGGGTATACGTCAATGAGAAAGCAACCCAACAACACACAAGAGTGCACACACTGAAATGTCTCGCCTACTATACTGATCATTGATTTTATGTTTATAGTCCTAAATATAAAGTTTTACTACACGTATCGCATTAACATTTATGATCCAAGAAAATGAGGTCAAGGTCAGATAAACCAAGCCAGAAATACATGTACACCTTTTATACAATCATTCCATACACCGAATATATATGACCTATTGCTTATAGTATAAAAGAAACAGACCAAACCATGAAAATTATATATTGACCAATGCACCATGAAAATGAGGTCAAGGTCAGATGAAACCTGCCAGACAGACATTAACACCGTAAAATCATTCCATGCTTCAAATATAGTTGACCTATTGCTTATAGTATCTAAGAAACAAAGTTAACCAGGGAAAACTGAACATTAACCAATGAACAATGAAAATAAGGTGAAGGTCAGATGATACCTGCCAGACAGACATATACGCCTTACAATCATTCTATACACCAAAAATACAGGGGTAGTTGACCTATTGCTTAAAGTTTAAGAAAAACAGACCAAAACACAAAAACTTAACATTGAGCAATGAACCATGAAAATGAGGTCAAGGTCAAATAAAACCTGCCAGACTGACATGTACATCGTAAAATATTTCCATACACCAAATATAGTTGACCTATTGCATACAGTATTAGAAAAACAGACCAAAACACAAAAACTTAACATTGAGCAATGAACTGTGAAAATGGGGTCAAGGTCAAATAAAATCTGCCAGAATGACATGAACATCGTAAAATATTTCCATACACCAAGTATAGTTGAACTATTGCATACAGTATTAAAAAAACAGACAAAAACACAAAAACTTAACTTTTGCTACTGAACCATGAAAATGAGGTCAAGGTCAGATGACAGATGCCAGTTGGACAAGTACACTTTAAAATCAGTACATACACCAAATATAGTAGACCTATTTCTTAAAAGTATCTGAGATATGGACTTGACCACGAAAGCTTAACCTTGTTCACTGAGGTCGAGGTCAAGTGAAAACTGTCTGACAGGCATAAGGACCTTGCAAGGTACGCACATACCAAATATACGTATCCTATTACTCATGAGAGAGAATTTAATATTACAAAAAATCTTAACTTTTTTTCAAGTAGTCAATGAACCATAAAAATGAGGTCAAGGACAATGGACTTATGACAGACGGAAACTTCATATCATAAGGCATCTATATACAAAGTATGAAGCATCCAGGTCTTTTACCTTTTAAAACTATTAAGCTTTTAAGAAGTTAGTTAACGACGCCGCCGCCGCCGCCGCCGGATCACTATCCCTATGTCGAGCTTTCTGCGACAAAAGTCGCAGGCTCGACAAAAATAAAAGTCATCCAGATGTCAGAGTGCTGACCAATAAGCAGGTGCCTATAAAGTTTGTCAAGCTCTAAATCTCTCTGATTTAAAGAAGCCCTGACTCTCTATATATTATTTTTACAACACTTATTCTTAATCTGCTGAACTTGAACAAATTGTACACTATGGTTTGCATATATAATATTTTGTAATAAAATAGTATTAAAAATATGATACACTTACATGTAGTAGATGTGTTACGGAAAGGTATAGACTCGACGCTGAATTTAACTCGAATAATTATGCGCCCTCTATCGGCATATTGCCTATCGAGGACAAATTTTATAACAGTCGATTTTGGTAGGTGCAAATACTTTTGGATTTTTAATATGCATAAGCATACATTCTGCCGAAAAAAAAGTCCACAGAAAGATCAGAGATTGACCCGGTTAAAGCATATATTTGCATCTCTGTCCTCGGTAACAGTATTTTTGAAGGAAAAAAATCATTAAAAAGGGCATTTATCTTAGTGAAAAGAGAAAGTCGGGTACACCTTTTACGTTCAAGTGTGTTTCAGTTGACTGATTTGTCCTGAAAACAAATAAAGCAAAAAATATTTTATACATCATCACGATTCAGATTCCATTAGTTTTATATATTTAGGCTACATGTGCTGATATAATAACATTAATTCATAAAGCTAAAAAAAATGAGATGTGTGGGCCAAATGAGATAACTTTTCAATGATTCACAACAACAGAGTAGGTGTTCTTGAATAAGGGAGCTACCATTTGATTTTTATCGGGGGGGGGAGTAGGATGAAATTTGAAAAAAAGGCAGGACAGAAGTTATGAGTAATAAAAGGCAGGATGACAAATTATGTATAAAAAGTCAGGATAAACTAATAAAAAAAAGGCAGGACCGAATAAAGTGAAAAATAAAAAGGCAGGACCGAGATTACAACTAAAAAAAATGCAGAACACAATTTTTCATCCTAGCCCCCCCCCTACAGAGTAGGTGTTCTTGAATAAGGGAGCTACCATTTGATTTTTATCGGGGGGGGGGGGGGGGGGGGGGTAGGATGAAATTTGAAAAAAAAGGCAGGACAGAAGTTATGAGTAATAAAAGGCAGGATGACAATTTATGTATAAAAAGTCAGGATAAACTAATAAAAAAAGGCAGGACCGAATAAAGTGAAAAATAAAAAGGCAGCACCGAGATTACAACTAAAAAAAATGCAGAACACAATTTTTCAACCTAGCCCCCCCCCCCCCCCCCCCCCCCCCATAAAAATCAAATGGTAGCTCCCTTACAATTAAAAAAAACTTCGTGTTACTACAAGTTTTAAAACATCTATTTGTTACCTCAGCTGATTTTTTTTTTTTTAGTTTTCGTTCACTTATTTTTTAAATAAATTAATGCATATTAATTATTTTATAAATATTCATGAAATGTAGTCCTAATTTTTATGTGGCAGTCGAGATTTCTGTCCATTAGTCCATTCGTTCCAATTTGAAAGATCTACCTATTGTAGTTTGTTTTTGTTTTTCGTCCTGAATATGTATGAACTATTTGTCACTGGACGTTAAGCAAACAACAATCAATCAAATTTTTCAAATGTCCAATCAGAAACCGAAAGAGTTGGAGCATTGGCTTAAGTTCAATAAATCATTTACCCAATCATGTTAAGATGCATGCCTAATATAAATTGTAATTTATTTTCAAACTGCTCAATATGAAAGGCCAAAGAGTAGATGAAACATGCGGAAATCTACTTCAACACTAAGTTTCGCGTAACTTAACAAGCAAGTTAAAATTTCAAAATTTCTTTTAAGGAAAATACGTGTATACCTTCAGATTTAATGCTTGCTTGGAAATATCCAAAGGGAGAAAGATTGTCAAATCGGATCTATCATGCACGATGATAGTAGAAAGTTTTTTTTCTATATATAATCTTAATAAAGATAAAAGCCCAAGCATACGAGTGTTTTAATATCAAAAATTCTGAATTGAAAATTTGTTAATCCGTATATACGTTATATAAAATTTTGGGTCTTCTCCGGAAATCTCTGAACATTTCCAATATTAAGTTTTGTCTTCAATCTATAGCATAAGCTGTGTAACCGAGGAACTGGGGAGGGGAGCGCTGGCACCCTGTCTCATATCTCAAAGGAATGAAGTCGATATGTGATAGATTCCCATCCGTTTTAAAAAAAAAACATTAGAAAAGGGGAACACGTGCAATTACGATTGGACAGAAACTTGATAAAAATACCGTGACTATTCCGTAAATCCTTACCCAGTTTTCAATTGGACTCATGGCTTGTGTTGAATTCGAATCGCAATACACTTCTTCTAAACAAAGCAATGCATCACTGGCAATGCTTATAATTTCATCGTCAATTTTCCCATCGGATTTCTGAGTTTCTTCAAGAATGGACGAAACAACATCACGGCCGTCCTCAAATGTTTCTATCACGTGATCAACAACTTCGGCATTTTTCTTCGCTTTCACAGACCTGGATTTGCCTTTTCTGTCAGATTTACGTCTAGATGTTCTGCTGGACGACATTTTTTGCGTTGTTCTGCGGAGAATCAATTTCTATACTGGATCTTGGTCTACAGTCACGTGATGGAAAGTTATGATGTACTTTTCACATATCAATAAGTTGGTCACTATAAATGGGTAGGTAGTACTTTAGTGTTAAGATGAACAATAAGTTCAGAAAAGAATCATTGGTTAATTGATGGTTATGAATACTCTAAATCGTATAAAAATATTGTTTTTCTCAACAACCCGCTTTGCTTGTTATTTAATTTTCGATTTTTTATCAACCCTTCAGTTCCTCACAATATTCTCTTGACACGGTGAAGGTCATACCAATTCTGCACTTTAACAGTCCATTAATAGTGTTAATAAATTGAATAGCCGTATGAAGTTGAACTATCTCGAAGTACAAATTACTAAAATCAACGTTACAAATCCACGGCTTCGTTAAGGAAAAATATATATTTACATTTGAAAAATGTTTTATTTTAAAATGAAATTTAAATTATTTTTGGCACCGACATATAGTTGATAAACATTCAGGAAGGCTTAAAATACTGTAAATATATTAATGTTTGTCTTGGAGATGTCGAAAATTTGTGTTCGAAAGAATAAGAAATGAATGTTACAGTATTTAACAAATCGTAAATCGGTAGAAGAACTGCACTCTAAATTCAAATCAAATTCAAATGTTTTTATTGTCATTTAAACAAATTAAATGTTCGTGACAATATGAACAAGTTATAAAAATCTGTATTGTCGCAAAACATATGACATACAGCTTTTGATAAAAAAAAAATACGAATTACATAAACATATATAAAACAATTTTTTTTAACAGTCAGTAAATCAATATAGTCTCCTGTCCTCCGTTCCATTAACCGTTTTAAAAAAGAACACAGACTGTGTACATGTTGAAAACTTTATTGGGTAATGCATGACTAAGTTTACGTAAATCACATTTATGCACGAAATATAAAAAAAAAAAACACGAACAATTAAGCTGCATCTGTCCTCAGTTCAAGATGTTCTATTGATTAAAAACTATTCAGTTTCTGATCCGTTTCAGTTTTAGAATATTTTTTTTAAAACTTTCTGAACCCCAATTTTTGTCAATTTAGCAATTTAGCAAGCTATTTCTCCATAGAAAAAAATTAGAAGCTATCTGTTAATAGACTGTTTAAAGTCCTGTGATGTTTTTTTTTAAATCCAAAAGGTGTGTTTGAATATTTATCTTTCATTTAAGATCTAAGATAGCACTAAAACTGTGGAAATACAATTTACAAGAGCTATTCTTCGTGATTGGATGGTCCCATACTTACTCTCAAGATTATGAAGAAGAGTTAAATAAAATTATTCCACTGCAAATTCCAGTTTTTAAATACCAAGTCGAATAATTGCGAAGTAGAGAAGTCACTGTAACAAAACTACTGTGTTTAATTATTTCATTATGAGTGTCATAATTTATATGTTAATAATTTTGTCATTTTCTGAAGAGTTCTAGATATATTTGAATATTTTCTATGGAAATAAGTGCCAGAAATCTAGTAGGTAAGTACCACTTTTCTTAGAAAAATTTATCCTGGGACTTAATTTTCTTGTCAAGTTCTGGTCATGGACTTCAATTCTTTATTAACCAAATGTTTTACAACATATAGGTACATGTATAATCAATATATACTAAATATAGATTACAAAAATCTACGATCATGACAAAACAGACAGAAGTATTAAGTATACAAAAAAAAAAAAAAATACATATAAATATAATATTGATTACCTAGGAAACAAAGTCCTGGACTAATTTTACTACGGGACAGATTTTACTGTTACTATATGAGCGTCGTAAACTTAGTACAATTGATTTTATATATTCTTTATTGCAAAACAAACAAAAACCAATTTTGGTCATAGCAATACAAACACAAAACAAACATAAGAAAAACTCAGCAATATTAAGATACATGTTAAAAACAGTTATTGGTCTTCTTTCCTCAGTTTTAACTTGAAGACTCTTTAATAAAAGAAACGCCGAACTGCTTTTATATCATTGGATGTTTATGGATTGAGTATAATCGCGAGTTTATCGGTTAAGTTTAGTGTATTAAAATTGACATATTTTTTGATATAATATTTTAAAAAGGTTTCTCTATTATTTCTATTAATTTTACAGTTAAAGAAAAAATGAAATTCATCATCTAAGATATTACAAATTTTACATTTTCTTTCATTTCTTGGTATTTTTGTATATCTTCTAGTTTCTATTAAAAGACAATGATCGCTTATTCTAAATTTGGTTAACATGTTTCTTTTTTCTTTGTTTGGGTGAGATTGGTAGTATTCCATTTGGTTATTTATATTAGATTTAAGAAATTTATATAAATATCTTATTTTTTTCATTTAGGTTGTTTATTTTATCATTAATAAGAGTTTGATAATAGTTAATAGAATTTTTTAATTGGGGTTTTAACTTTTAGTGTGTTTTAAAGTTTTAGTTTCTTCAATCAGTTTGATGTCAATATTCATTTCTTGTGACACATTTTTTGCTAAAGTATCATACCAAGAGTATGTTCCTTCAGTATCTAAATTTTAGTTAGGTTAAATGCTTCATTAAGAAGTTGGTTTAGATCGATTTTCATTATTTAATCTAGATAGGTACATCATGGTTTGCGTATTTATAAAAGTGTCTAATGGCAGAAGTCCTACAGCTAGATTTGTTGAGTTTCTTTTTGTTCCCAGTGCTTGTTTAAAAATGCAGCTGGGTTTATATGGTATCAACCGATTGTGAAAAAGAGAAGGACGATACCAAAGGGTAAAAAACGAATAGTGACCCAACAAAATCATGGCAAAATCATGGCAAAAAGAAACAAACGACGAGAGGATAATTAACAGTCTACAAAACACTATGCATGAAAAACAAAAGACTGAGCAACACGAACCCAACCCAAACCAAAATCAGGGGAAACCAGGGGGTGATCTCACGTGCTCCAAAGGGATAAGCATATCCTTCTGCCCACGTGGCATCTGTTGTGTTGCTTATACTTAATACAAATTCTGTGTTGTATATGTGTCATTCGGTGATGTCACAAGGAAAAGAGGACCTGACATAAGAGTAAAAAAAACTAAAGGAAATGAGTGAACCACTACGGTTATTATAACTCGTTAAATATAATAAAATGTGTATATGTTTTTAACACCAGAAAAGTTCCTTTATTTGATGAATAGTTACTCATTTCGGGAACTATATCCTATTTGGCGGGTTGTCCCCAACCTGTTTAGTAGCTGGGTCCAAACTAGAGCGAGAGCCACTCTAAAAAACGCAGTCATTCTAAAGGATTGAAATCAAATCAAATTCATACACATGTGCCTTGCGAGTTTCAAATGAAATCTGTTCATAGGAATTATACTCCGTGACAAAATGAGTTCATGAAAACTGTTCGTTTCGAGAGAGAAAAATGCTACAAGGATACAGTTCCTCAGAAAATGATGTTATCTTGCATCTATATAATTCTTAAACAAATTGAACAAAACCGTCCGAATGGGGAGCAGTTCTCTGAATGAGTAACAATACCTCAATTGAAAAATATTGTGCAAGTGTTAATACGATTTTTTTAATAATTTATTTTTCTTAAAAGTTTCACAAATTTATAGAAAATGGAAGTGTTTTTCACAAAGATCCATTTTAATATTTGTTTTTTTTTAATTTCATTGCCTTGAAAAATGTCGATTTTGAAAATCTTTATAGGTAACCTTTTGGTATATCAGATAATGTGTGGAGTAAAAATTTCTGATTTATATATTTCATGTACACCAAATCTCTATGATAGAGGAAATAAAAGTTATATATATACAAAAACAACTAGTAAATTTAAGACACATTTTGGCAATCAAAGTCTCATAATAATTTACAGTGGTAGGGTGAGTGCTTTTCAGAGAATTACATGTCTGAGTTCTTGAAAAAAAAACACAAAAGAGGGTCGGTAATAAGCCTAAACGTGTACCGTAAAAGGCGAATTTTGCCAAGCATCCGAAATGAGAATTATTTTGTGTATTTTTTAAAGGGGTAGAATTTGTAATATACGTGTTTGAAAAAAAGGATGAGTCCCAGGCCGATTATAGCAAAATAGAAAAGAATCCTGCAGCTAAATCAGCTAAATCAGTAACACATACCTAAAATTTGTCTCGATATGAAATCCACAGTCAGGATCAAATCCACATGCAGGATCAAATCCACATGCAACATCATCAATATATTTGATTGAGTGTTCTTCCTTTATATACACTATTTTACAAGTAATTATGATACTCATTCCGAATGTTTATATTTTTAATTCTACCTCCAAAGGCAAACTGGCAAAGGGTGAGAAGAAATACCCGTGCTATCAATGAATACATATCATATGCATGCGAACTCATCATGCACGATTTTTTATTCGTTGGACCAAAGACCAATGTTCGACTTTACTTACATCAAAAAATATATATCTTATGAATTATTCAGACAAACTATTTTCAGTTTTACAATTTCTACAATTGATGTTAAATTCCAATAGCGAATTAAATTGAATCAAATACGTTATTGTTGACTTCTCATTGTTATTATATACAGATAAAACAGTTTGGCTATAAAAATATATCAAATATATACAGTAAGGTAAACACAATGTACACAAAAAAGAGCAAATGCACGTAAAAGGTATTTCAAAAATATAAATAAAGAGCCTTTTTTTCATATAAAGTTTATGAGACAATGCGAGAGCTTTTAATTAAGAAAAACATCAAAAATCGAACGTGGCTAACCGTCGATTTGAAGTTCGAGTAAAATCCGAGTTAGAGATGTGTTTCGAGTTCAACTTTGAGTTTGAGTCAAATTTCGAGTAAGAGTCTAGTAAAGTTAGATAATATTCTTTAAGATGCAAACGAGAAAAAAATGTCATAGTGAATATCAAATGGTGAAATTTCAATACTCAAAATGGCAAAAAATGGTTTTAGATGAAATTGTAAAATACATATCTCTGTTTATTCAATCTTACTTGTGGTAACTTTA